ACGGCGTGTTAATTCACTTTATTATTATTATTATTATTATTATTTATTTATTTTGATTGTTTAATTAATCAATAATTAATCAAGATAATTAAGATGTAAATAATAATAATAATAATGTAAAATACAAAATTTTTTTTTTTTTGGTAAAATTAAATTTTATTCGTCGAGAACCCGGAGGAGGAAGGGGGAAAAAAAACATTATTATTATTATTATTTAGGAAAATCAATGGAAATCATTCATTTGGGAATTGAAAATAAATAAATATATATATATATATATAGTGATGGAAAACAATTTGACAAAACCTGTGTAATCTCAATTGTATTGTTTTCTATTAATTCACCATAAATATTATTGTTTTCGTTTTACTCTTCGAAAAACCCAACCCATTATTATAAATTTTATTATTTTACGTTTTGAATATTATCATTATTATTATTATTATTAATTGCTATACGAAAAAAATATTCAAAACGTAAATAAAAAATTTCATTTAAAAAATTATTATTATTATTATTATTAAATAATTGCAGACGATTTTTTACATCGATTAAATTTAATTTATTAATACCGAATCGTTATTATTAATAACAAACGACTCACGTTTTATTTATTAATAAGAAAAAAATAATAATAATAATTATTATTTTATTTATTAATAATTATCATATGATTAACCTTATTAATAATAATAATAATAATAATAAAATGTATCCTTTTCAGACAAAGAAAATCAAAGAAAAGTTTTTTTTTTTTTGTAATTTATTAACGATTGATTTTCTTTGTCGAAAAAAATTTTCCTTTTTTTTTTTTTTTCTTATTACATTTAAACGGTGCAGTGCACAATAATAATAATAATACTTAAATTACGTAACTAACTAGTTATGATAGTTAAATAATAATAATAATAATAAAAAAAAGTGCAAGTGCGTGAAAAAATTGTGCGAGGAAAATTTCTACAGTTGTAGTAGTTGTAATTGTAAATTGTGATGGTGTGCAAAGTGCTAGAAAAGAAAAAAAAAAGAAAGAAGAAGAAGAAGAAGAAAAGAAAAGGAGAGAAGATACAATTCTAACGAGTTCATTAAATTTTATCATCATCATCATCATTATTATTATTATTATTATTATTATTTTTATTATTATTATTAATTCGCATTCTTTAAAAACAAAAAACGAATTTTAAAAAATTAAAAAAAAAATTTTCCGCGATGGGGGGGGGGAAATGAAATAGTAATTGTCTCTCGATGAGTTATTATTATTATTATTATAAAATAATTTTTAGCGGTGACGATGATAATGATGATGATAATAATAATAATAAATGCAAAAGGTTTTTAGAAGAGTGAAATCTATCTTATTCTTTAGTCCGATTAAATATAATCCGATTTTCTATTTCTTAGATTATAACGATTTTAGAATAATTAAAGATGATGATGGTGATGATGATGATGATAATAATAATAATAATAATAGTAATAATAATAATAATTAATAATAAAATT